CTCTTAGATGACTTCGCTGCTAAATGACAGTTATTTTGCAAGCCGAGCGCCCACGTCTTGTATTTGTATAGTGGAAATTGAAAATATAGTCTTATTTAAATGATACATCTGATCAATACTCTCCGTTATCCACCCACCCGCCCGCCTGCTTGCCTGTTTGCGTATTTTCCACCACCCCCTCCCCTCCGGCTGCTTTATTTGCACACCCTCCCCACCACACAGCCTGTCCTCGAGGACTATTCTCATCCGAGACCCTCAGTGTTGTCATTTAGCTGTCTTTTGGGTGCAGTTTTACTGACGAAAACAGCTGCAGCTGGCCACCCGCGGTGTTTTTCATTTTAAGGACTCACGAAGTAGGGGAGAATTAAGTTAGGATCACCCCCTTTAAAGTTGTAGGCGAAGTTGTAAAAATTCAGTATCTGCTCTACTTTCTTTAAATACACGTTGCGTTATCGCTGCCCTCGTGCTGCCAGCAGATAGAAGCGTATAGCCGATCTTTGCGGTAGGCGCATGAAGTCGACTTCGGTCCCCCTTCGCATGTCCACAGCTGCGAATACTTTTTTCGGACACCAGTGCTAAGTTGATTCTTCATCGCGATAGTGGAGTAATTATTTGCCTCCTCAGAAGCGGTGCTTCTCTACGTAAAATTGCCCATTTTCAATGAAGTTTATTCCAAAATCGAAGTGAATTTAATTGCATTAATGTTGTCAAGGCACTTACACAATGGTTCTGACGGTATGCGACAACAGACGTTGTCACTAGTAATGCCTCTTATACGTCATCAAGCATACACCCGCACGGCAGTCAAGTACAGTTCACAACACCTGACGCCCTATTCGCGAACCAGCGGAAGTCTGCTAAAGGCTCACCCCCACGTTGGGTCCACTATGTGAGGCCGCCTTTCGCAACTGTCATTACTCTTACTGACACCGTTGTTACTGCGTCTGTGTGTGGCAAAAGTTGCTGGGGTGGCTATTTCACCACTTTTTACCTTCTATAAATAGACGAACGCGGCTTAGAATTGGAACTGTCCCTACAACAGGTCACGTGGTAGGTGCTTTGGATGGATACGGG